AAACCTCAGGGAGGGGAAAGGCCCATTGAGCTCCTACCCTTGTTCGCTCGCATTTGGTCCAAGTTCAAGTACTGCGAGGTCTCCAAATGAGAATCAAAATTGCCCGCCAAAATTTTCTAGGGAGCCTCCAACGACACATATTGCGACAGGTCCGGCTGGGTTCATAGCACTCATTGCGTTTGTTGGCCTGGGGATCTTTCGTCATCGTTAGTCACAGCGAGCTCTTTTGTGCTGCTAGGGGCCCGCATTTCCCACTGGCCCTTTTGCGCCACTCGGCGCCCCGCACAGAGGAACCAGAAGGGCCTCCAACCAGCAGTCGACTTCGGAAGTCATCCATGCGAACAGTTCCATTCTTGCGGGTTGCGCATGCCCAAAGGGACGAGACAAAAGGACGGCGATATCGACACTGGGAAGCGTCGGGGCTTCGCTTCTGCAGCTTCCCGCGACGCCATGACCGCCACAGAGTGGATGGTCGAAATATCGGATACCTCTGTGTCAGACGGCGCGCCTCGGTCGTCGGGAAAAAGGGTCCATCCCTGCTGCTCGCTTTCGTCGTCAGCAGTGGGGTTGTGGTCCGGGTCGCCGAGAGCCCCAGCATTGGGTCTCGAACTTCCTACGGGGGTTCTCGAGCCCTCCAGTCTGGCCGCACCGAGCGCGTTGCCCAAGTACGCATCCTGAGATCCAGCAGTTCAGTAATCCTCGCCTCCCCAGTCGCCATGGAGACGCTCAGGGGCCAGATCGCTGAGCTGAAGGATCTCAGGGGCGTATCAAGGGTCAGTGCGGGCGCACTGGACGATCCCAGAGGGGGGCGGCCCAGGAAGAATCTTCATTGTCCCTGAGCGTTTGTTACTCGGGCGGAAGATTCCGAGGGGCCGCTGCGCCCCTTATTCGGGGATTCGCGGATTCGGTGATTCTGGTAAGTTTTTGGCTATTCCGTTCTCCGCGGGGTCGGCGCTTGCTCTTGGGGGAACTGCGGTCGCCTTTCGTTTGTGCCGCTCCCCTGTGCTCTCCGAGCCCGAGGCGGGGTAGCACACATCAGAAACTTGCCCCTGGGGGGGGCGTGTGTCCCTCTCCGTCGGCTGGATTTGGGCGCCCGAAATGGGCACCCGAAAAATGGGTACGATGCCCAACCACAAATGTTTTCCAAAACCGACAGCGGCCGCTGTTGGGCAGACGGCCTTCTCACAAATGGACAACAGCCGCGGCGGCGCGGACAGCGAGCCCTGCTCAACGAAAATTAACAAGAACTGCTGTTGGGCACCGTACCCTCTTTTCCGAAACCATTCCGTCAGCGGGAAGGCGAATCGCGGTAGCCGCCTCTCTCGCGACCGCAAGCGCGTCCTGCTTCCTCACGCGCCCTCCCTGGGATGTACTGAATTTCCTTCGGGGGTTCTCGAGCCCTGGTCTGGCCGCACCGAGCGCTTTTTTAATCAGCGCAGGCGGAGCCCAGCGGCACGACACTGCAGACGAGCGACATACACGACAGACGACAGACGAACGACAGGGCGCGATGGTGGAGGGAACGAGGGGGAGGAGGGGAACGAGGGAACGCGCGCGCGACCCACGCGCACGTAACCGCCGCCACCCGCTGGCAGCGCGCCGTGCGCGCGCTCCTGCACCTCCAGCTGCGCCTCCAGCGGCCCGGGAGGGAGTGCAGCCTCCAGCTGCGCGGCCGCTGCCGCCGCCTACGCGGCAGCCGGCACCTCAACCTCCACCGGAGCCGTCCTGGGATAGAGGGCAACCTCTGGCTGTGAGGCCGCTGCTGACATCAGCCGGGAGTCACGGGGAGCCGGTTGCGGTTGCTCCACCAGGGTCCCCTAGCACAGCGCGTTGCCAAAAGGTCAGTGCGGGCGCACTGGACCATCCCAGAGGGAGGCGGCCCAGGATGAACATTACCCCGTCGAAGCGCTACGATGTACCAAATTGGGTCGTTTTTCTGACGCAAAAGATCACGCAGACTCTGGACTGGCATCATGACTACGGCCCCATGAGCGGGCAGAAGTTGTAGAGCCTGCCAGCTCCCAGGAATGCCACCGACGGAACGCTGAGCCAGAACGAATAGCGGAGGCCTCTCCACGATCGGCGCAACTGCAGTCTTCGGGAGCCTTGACGCGGGGAGAGCGCCGCGGCTGCTGCAGGGCATCGACGCTCGCGCCAGCGCTCGAGCGCCCTCGGGTCCAGAACCTCGCTGACCTCATCGCTCATATCCCGCCTCCGTATCCGCCACGACCTCTCAGCCACCCAAGTGGGCAGCAACTGCAAGGGTGCCGTCAGCGAGCGTCGCAGCAAACGCAATGAGAGCGCACCCAGTTACACCCAGTTGCACCCAGTTACACTTAGTTGCACTCAATTACGCGTAGTTGCACACAGCTGCACCCAATTACACCTAGCAACATCGAGTTCCACACGGTTGCAAATAGTTACGCGTAGTTTCACGGGAGTCTACCGAACTGACGTAAGTTTCAATCTGATGCAACACATGCGTTTCGGACCATCCTGCGTTGATCCGAATGGCGACTCACTCCTCAGAAAACACAATGGGAAATTCTGCACAAAACTAAATGTGTGTACAGAATTTTCTCCCGGGCCTCTGGCATCCCGCAAAGGCGAGTCCTCCATCCTCGATGCTCGTCGCCACCTCCGTTCTCCTCTGCTCATCGCCACAAATTCGACCCTCGAAACCCAATCCCCAATCGTCCTCAACACGTGGACCCTCGGTCCCCGTGAACACCTCGGATCTGCACTCTCGACCACCGCTAAGAACTCGAGGCTCGAAGCCCGATGCTCGACCCTCCTCGAAGCGTCGACCCTCGATCCTCGTCAACACCACGGTTCACGATCTTCGGCCACTGCGAAAAACTCAAAAGCTGACGCTCGGTCCTCGAGCATCGATCCTTGTAAACAACCAGATCCTGGAGCCCTGATGTGCGCCAGAACTTCGATCCTAGAACTACAGTCCTCGATCTTCGCCTCCTGGTTGGTCTAAAAAACTCACTCCTCGCTCATCGCCAAAACATGAGCTATCAAAACAGGATGGTGATGATTATGCTGATGATGGTGATGCTGCTGATGATGCTCACAATGATGGGATGACGAGGCAAGGGGAAACTGTCTGAATCAAACTTTTTATAACCGGCTTCGTGCGGCTTCTTCCGACTCCCAGAGATGGTGGCAAAGATGATGATGCTGCTGATGATGATATGCTGATGATGATGACGAAATGGCGACGATGACGATGACGGCGATAGCGACCATGGCAATGACGACGATGACGATGATGACGGAGCTGTTGATGATGATAATGATGACGATGGTGACCACGATGATGATGATCAGGAGGCGGAGGAGGAGGAGGACGATGATGATGACGGTGGCGGTGACTGTGACGACCCTCGCGTGTCTCAAGTCAGTCAAGCTTGTTGTCCACGTCACGTGAATCAAGTAGGCCCCGTTATAGTCGCCGAGAGAGGGATTGAGAGAGAGAGAGAGACAGAAAGAGAGGACGAGGAGGAAACAACCAGGCAGGGAGGAGGGTGGGTGTGGTGGAACTCTGCGTCTTGTCGATGACGACGTGCAGTGGCCCTTATAGTGGGCTGGCTCGAACCTGGCCTGTAGCCAGGTTGAGGGTATGGAAGGCCCGATCCCCTCTCAGGCCCGTCCGAAGATTTGGTCGACCCAGGCTGTCCCGCGCGTAGGCGGGCCAGCCCGAGCGGCGGCGGCACTCCTGCTGGACGGCAGGCACGGCCTGTGGCGCCACTCCTGCTGGACGGCAGGCACGGCAGCGAGCGCCTCGAAGGGACACCTGCGAGGCAACGGCAGTGCGAGCCCCGAGCAACTGCGTCGGGGCGGCCACGCAGGGGACACCTGCGAGGCAGAAATGCGGGCCGCCTGGCACGCCCGAGGCCAAGTCGCCAGCAGGCATGCGCGGGCAGCGGGCGGCACGCGCAGCGAGTAACGCACAGCGCCGACCAGAGTTAGAAGATTTCAGGGCGGCCTGGCCGCCTTCGGGACAGGTCCGCCTGCCATGCGGCCGTGCGCCGACCTGCTATAGAGGCGGCACAGATCGAAAAAGGATGGGCCGAGCTGGCGGCGGGCGATCCTCTCGTCGAGCAATGAGTCAACACATCGCACCGGCGGCGGAAGGGCGACTGCCAGCATGGCGTCGGTCTCAGATGCCGGCAGGGGGGTGGACTCAGGCTCAGAAGCGCCGATGGCCTCGTGGGGCCCCGCCTCGTGCAGCACGGGCTCCACGTCCTCCTCGCTGCCGTAGTCTGGAACGGGGACGCCTGCTGGCCAGGTCATGGCCTCGCCGCCCGTCACGAAGACGTGGAACCAGTGGCCATTGCGGAGCCCGAGATCGTCCCTCTCGACTCCGGCGGCGCCGTCCACGGCCTCGCTGCCGAGGGAATCGAAGCCCTTGTCCTCCTCCTCGGCGTGGGGGCCCGCGTGGGTGGGCTCCTGTGTGGAGCCTGGCCCAGGGCGGACGTTTTCGGCCTTGACTAACTGAGTCGAACCGTCATCCAAGCGCACCTGGTACCACGCCTTGACGCGGTCCACGGTCAGGATCACGGCCGACGCGCCGTTGAAGGACGTTGCCTCGAGGAGCCCGGCCAAGTGAACGCGATCTCCCACTGGGTGCAGCGGCCTTGGCTCGGCCTCGCCATCCCTGGAGTCGAAGCCGACGTCGCCCGTCTCCTCGAGGCTGGGGCACGGCGCCGGCTCTGGGTGCAGCAGGTCCTCGCTCTGCCCAGGCCTGCTCTCGGGCACTGCCAGGCTGGCAACTGCCGTGGAGGCCGCGCGAGCCTTCATCTGGCTCTGCTGGCCTGGCGGGAGGGGCGCACGGGAAGTCCTGCAGCGCCGCGGCAAGTGCCCGGCCCACCGCCTCGCCGAGCGTTGCCGCTGCGTGGGCCCGCATCCCCGGACCGTGCGGCATGTCCTCTTCGGCGGGCACCTGGGCCTCTCGCCTTGTGGCCGGCCATCGGGAGGCCGAAGGGCATCGCCTACAGGTGGCCGAAGGGCCTCGCAATCAGCAGGCTGGGGCGTCCGGTCGACAGGCAGAAGTACAGCGCCAGCAGCAGGCATAACTGGCCGATCAGCATCCGCAATTGGTCGACGAGCAGCGCTTCCGTCAGGTCGAAGAGCGTCGCCCTCGTGCGGTCGAAGATCAGCGCCTGCCGCATGCCGTAGGGAATCGCCGTCGTCCGGGCGCACATCACCAGCAGCGGACTGTAGTGGCTGAGGAACTCCATCGGGGGGCCGAGGGGCATCGCCTGCAGGTGGCCGACAAGCCTCACCATCAGCAGGCTGAAGCGTCCGGTCGACTGGCAGAAGAGCAACATCAACAACAAGTGAACGTGGCCGAAGAGCAACATTCGTAGAAGGCCGATGAGCGACGTCTGCGTCAGGTCGAAGAGCGCCGCCCTCGTGCGAATGTAGATCGGCACCTGCCGCAAGACGTAGCACATCGCCGTCGTCTGGCCGAACATCACCAGCAGCAGATGGGGGAGGCCGAGGGGCGCCACCCGCAGCATGCCGTAGAGCGACATCAGGCTGAATTGCACCATCAGGATGTAGTGCCTCGCACGCGGCAGGTCGGAGGGCGGCTCGAAGTCGAAGTGCAAGTACTGCGACATCGGCGCCCCGGATTGGCCTGCTGCGCCGGGCGGCATAGCCCAGGCGGCAGAGCGCTGCCGCCACGGGCCTCGGGGCCAGCCGCGGGGCCGGCGCCGGTGGCATCTCAGAAGCCATGGCAGGTCGGGGTCGCTGGGAGCGACGCCCTGGGCGCGGGCTGCTGGTCGGGCTGGGGGCGCCACAACCAAAACGCGCCGACGGGAAATGTCTCCGTCGGCTCAAGCCCACGCCTTGAGCCAAATGGCTACGGAGGAGGGTGGGGAGGAGGGAGGACGGAGGAGGTCCGACAAAACAAAGAAGATCTTAGGCGGGCAGGACGACGATGGCGACGGCGATGCTGATGATCAACATGACGACGATAATGATTCAGATGATGACGAAGATGATGATATGACGATGATGATGATGATGATGATGATGATAATGATGATGATGATACTGGTGATGATGATGATGATGATGATGATGATGATGATGATGATGATGATGATGATGATCATGATCATGATGATCATGATGATCATGCTTTTGATGATGGTGATGATGATGATGATGATGATGATGGTGCTAATGATGAGGAGGTTGATGCTGGGGATGAGGACGATGATGGTGATTGTGACGATGGTGGTGGTGGTGGTGAAGATGATGATGCCGAGGAAAAGCCAAATGACTAGTGAAAGCCAACTTTCTTTACATAATACCCCCCCCACCCCCTACGGCCTCCGATGTCTCTGCCCCACATGGGTCGCACGGATTCGTTGCGAGCTAACTTCCAATTCCAGATGGTAAGGATGCTGATGGTGATGATGATGGTGATGCTTATGATGGTGATCATGAATAAGAAGATGAGGAGAAGGAGTATGGGTACCCTGAGAAAGGAAGAGGGCAGGCGGACGCGAGCACGAACGAGAAGAGGGCAAATGAGTTAGTCTCTGCCGCTGTGCTCAGGCCTAGCGCCTCTACCTGTATAGTAATGCGTGTGCTGCACAGAGCGATGCGGAAGATGAGGAGAAGGAGGGGGAAGAGGAAGAACATGATGGTGAGGATGAGATTGATGATGCTAGTAGGATGATGATGATGATGATGCTGATGCTGATTATGCTGATGAGGATGAGGATGAGGGTGATGATGATGCTGATGCTGATGATGAGGAGGATGAGGCGGAGGAGGAGGATGAGGAGGAGGAGGATGATGGTCGTGTGTTGCACGTCTTTTGAAACACGGCGTGCGCAGGAACGGGGCAAAGAGGGAGGACAGAAAGGCCCATCACCCCGAGGCTCCCGCCAAGGAGCCCCCTCAAGCCGCTTCCGCCCCCCGAGGGGGCGGAGAGTGGCGCCACCCGAAGGCGGAGAGGGTGGCGGGCCTCGCTCCCGAGGAGGAGGAGGAGGAGGACGAGGGAGGAGGAGGGAGGAGGAGGGAGGAGGAGGAGGGAGGAGGAGGACGGAGGAGGAGTGGTCCAGCGCAACACGAACGAATGCGAGGCCCCGACTCGCGCGAGGCGGGCCCGAGTAGCTGGGGCACAAGGGATTCGTTAACCTCGGTCGAACTCGCAAGTTGCGAGTTCGACGGAGGTTAGCGAGTCCCTTGTGCGTGGCAGGCTGGCACTCGTCTTTTGATCGGCGGCCGTAAACAACCGCGGTGCGACCGCACCGAAAACCAAACGTAAAGCGAGCGAAGGTCCCAAAAGGCCAGCCGATGGGAAAGATCGAGAGCCTGTCCTCCAACCTCCTCAGGGCCACTGGCGGTCAGGACCACATCCCGAGGGAAATCGACGAATCACATCCCGCCGAAAAGCATTCGGGGTGCAAAGCCTCAAGAAGGCCTCGCTTCTAAAACACGAGCCCGCACCTGAGGCAGGTGAAAGCGGAAACGACGGCCTGGGACATATGAGCGCTGGCTTTGGCAGCCCGCTCCAAGCGCGTGCCTGGCCTGGAACGCTCGCCAGGGGGCCCTTTGGACTTCTCTGGGTCCACCCGAGCGGCGCCGGCCAACGCCCTACGAACTCTGCGCCTAACTAATGCAACCGTGACGTCCCAGCCATCCATGATTGGGTCATGTTTCACAGAAGGGGCCCACGAGCGTGCCGCTGCTTCGCCTGCAGCCTCATCAGCCAGCTGATTTCCGCCGGCCAGAAATACTTCACGCTCTGAAAACCCTGCGTCCTCAGAGGAATTGTGAAACGGGGTCTATTCGACATCGACCGAGCCAGGATTTCGAGCGTCGAGGGCGCACCACATTCGAAGCCACAAATCGTTGCTCCTCCCCCCCAGGCTCCACGGTCGACCCCGCGTCCACTCCGCCCACACGGGTCGATGATCGGTTGCAAGAAACACTTGCCACGATGTTCCTTCTAAGAGGAGCGCGCAAGCCGCAAGCCTGAATCTCGGACCGGGCCTCCTAAAAATTCCGAATGGCCTCCGAAGGCGACCCCATTGAAAGGGTCCTCGCTTGGGCCTGCTTCACAGATAACATCAGCGGAGGAGCCGCACCGACGGCGCCGAGGTTCAGATATTAACTTGCGTCTAGAACCGCCCCCAAATTCAAAGGGGGACTCCGAGCCGAAAGCTCTGGAGCACTCACGAACCTGGGCTTTGCTAAGCTCCCCTGGGGGCTCCTCAAAAACAGGATGAGTGAAACAAACTGGTGGCACTCATCAAATCCACAAGCACGGTTCAGAAATCAGAGACGCCCGAAGGTGCAGAACAATGCGGTCGGTGGTGACGCAGTCAAGATGATCTGTATTGCACGGGGACCGCCAAGTGCGGTGCGCCAGCGTCTCAACCCCTTCGTGGCATCATCCCGGGCAGAGTCGTTCGTCGTCTGCGGTCAGCGGCATCTGGCGGTCCATGGCCCACTGGGCGCCCGTGACCACGAACGCGTTGAACATGTCGAGCTCGCCTGCCTTGGCGAATCTGTTGAGCTCCAGTTTTGACCCATGACAATCGTCGCCATCCTCGAGACCAGCCCCGTCATTGCCCTTGGCGGCATGGCACCACATGATGGCGCGAACATATCAACTCATGTCGCTAAGCAGCTCGGAGATATCGAAGCCAGCGGGGTCGCGCCAGGGTAAACAGGAGGTCGGGATCTGCCACTTCTCGAACGAATCTCCCACTGGCCGTCCCCGTTTAAGAGCGCGCAGTACTTTCCAACATCCGTCATAGTGAGAACGGCTGCCACTATAGGGCCTCGGGCGAGCCTCCACTTTTTCTGACGCGCCTTCGAGGGCCTGCTGTGAAATTGCGACCACGCCTGATTGATGTGATGGCGGGCGCTGCAGTCGGTCTTCCACCAGGTAGACTACTCTGAGACCAACGCTCTGCGAACCTCGAACCCTAGGTCCTTCGGCCCATACAACAGATTACATGCCGTCGTCATACACCTTCCACGCATGGGACCGACTCCAGCTTGAGCCGCTTGACGCCGTAAAAACGATATGCTGGACTCAACGGCTCGACGGGGCTCAAACCCTTGCGCCTCCTAGCGCAGCCAGGCGTGCCTGCGCAGCCGTACAGCGCCAGCACCTCGTCGCCTGCTGGCCCGCGCGATCGAGCGATGCATCAAAACAGCGCGCCGCTGGCCAGAGGACACGTGAAACGCCAGGATTGGTTTCATTTAAGGTAAGACTCACAAACAAGCCTTCTTGCGCAATCGCTCCGCAACGTTGCGCCCAAAATGTGGCGAAGAGGCATGCAACGCAGACTTGTCTGAAACCCAAAGCCGATATGTTCGACAAGCTCGCAAGCACCAAGTTGGCGTCACGAATAATTGCTTCCACGGTGGAGACAGCGCCTTCAGCGCGAGCAGCGGACTCATCAGCGCAGGCCCAAAGTATCGCAAAGCTGGCGCGCCCTTGCGCCGAATGCAGCACCAGGCGCAGGGGGGGCCTGGCCAAGCGCGCCCCAAGCGGCGAACGCGCCACCTGTGAACCCGCGGCGAAGATGGCGTCAGTCGCTCCAAGGACTCCTAGCTGAAAGAGCACCCCGCGCAGAACTCCAGCTCGGGACGCACCGCCGCTGCAAGAAACCGAAGATCGAGGGCCGCCTGCCCCGACTGCACCCAGGAAATATAATCGCACAACATCGCGGATGAGATGATATGCCCATCGCGCAGGCAGACTCGTCAAGCAATGAGCGCCGCAAGACAGCCATTAACGAACTGCTACCTGAAATCGCCGCGTCCCAGGATACAGACAATGAGTCGGGCCATGTCGGCGTGACCCCGCGCCTGATGCAGATCCATACCCTGGCATCTTCAGGATGGAGCCCAATGACTCGATCGCCCCCCGGGCCTAGGCAGCAAAGCCCCGACAATGCCCAATACTTGCGCAGGCCACGCGCCCACGGACTCCGCGAAGTCCAGGAGGCCGGTCTCCGCCCAGAGGAAGGCAACCTCTGGAGATCCATTGGCGCGAGAAGACGTCAACGTCAATGGCTTTGACGGGATGTGCCCTGAGCACTCTGTAGACCTGCTCGACTGCGATGGGTTCCAAAGGCATGGCCAGGGCAATGCGATGGGGCCCATGCGTCAAGCGTAACATGTCAGACTCAGTGTCAACCTGACCACCCTCGATCTCACACCAGCATTCTCTCGTGGCCTGCACGTGCATGGCGGGGTCGCTGACGACCTGGCCATTGATCGCGTGGCCCTGGCAAGCCGGCACGCGGCCCTTGACGCCTGAACGCAGACGGCCTGGCCTGGAGCGCCACTGCCTATTCGCCGGGCCCTGTGCCACTTGTGCCGTGCGAGTTGCGACGCTGGCTGAGTCCGCAATCTCTGCGACGCGGCGCTACTCTGCCCACGGAGGTGGCCCGAGAGACCCGGCGCCCCTGCCCCATCCGAAGCCCCAGGGCCTTCGCCGAAATGCTCCTCAGTCGGGGAGGAAGCAGCTTCGCCGCACATGAATGCGAAGGTGCTGAAAACAATCTCTCTGCCACACGCCAACTCCGTCGGTCATGCGAGCCCTGCCAGGCGCAGCTTTGGATTGGCGCCAACAGAGCCCCAAGCCCTGAGCGCGACCAAGAATCAGAATGAGGGG